GGGGGGGGGGGGGGGGGGGGGAGTGGTTGAGGACTAGTAATCGTAGACAGTCATAAGATGTGGAAGCATGTGACGTCATTACAAACTGTGAGATGACGTCATGGTAAAATGATCAACTGTTTTGTATTGATTACAATTTTATATCAATATAACATATTAAAATTTTAAATATACTAATAGTCCATGAGCTGTTTACAGAAATGAACGGAATACAGCACAAGGAACCCTGGAATAGCTTTATAGGTTTTATCTTCCTACTGACAGCTAAAGTCACGTATTTACCTCATTTATAGTAGATAATTACCTTGTACCTCTGGGTCTGGATTTTTGACTGCTTTCTGATCAGGGTAAGTACGCATAATGGCCTTCTGTAGAAAATCTTTCGCCTTTTCAGCAAAGTCTTCTAATCCTTTTAGCTTCACCTAAAGGGAGACAATCACAAAAAGGTACCGCACTAAAACAACCAATCGACAGGCCCGGTACATAATTGAGCATGGACTATGAGACATAAAAGAAATTCTGAATTTTATTACATTGAAAAACGAAAAATCGGGGGGGGGGGTTAGATTTTATATTAACCCTTCACCCCTATGTAACTTTAGTAGACTCTACTGTGCATTGATCTGGAAGAATCCATTATGGTCTACAGTGGTGAAAGAGTTAAGTCAAAATCTGTGAAAGTCGACTTGCAGGCCTCATTCACAAAGGTAGGATTTTAAGTAATTCATTTATTATCTGTGCAAGTGTCATTCTTTATTTCTAGATTTGTTAAAAGAGCAGAAATGATAAAAAAAAAATCAAGATCCTAAAAATTGCAAATGGTGCGGTATCCGTTTCAGTTCCTACAGAAAGTGTATAATAACCCAATACTGTGTACCGGGAATTTTTCGCTCAGTAAAACTTTCGCATTCTGCCAATGAAATCAATTTTCATCCAGTGTTAATTTTGTCCTTCACATTTAATGAATTCATTTATTACACTGTTCATCTATATTCGCAGTAGTTGCAAATTTTCCCTCAAAACTTGGGGTGTAAAAGGCGAAAATTAAACTGCAGTGAACATTTCATGGTATACGTTATATATATCAAGAAAACCTGGATTCAGTCGAGGAACTTGCTCTCATATGTTCATGAATATTATATAAAGCTGGATTTTTTCTTCCCCACCAAACTTGCACAGCATAACATTACGATATTTCCATGGATCTTCAATATCAAATTTCACGATTTCAGAATTGTTTCACACAATGTCTATACGTACCCTCTGTCTCCCAGACTCATCGGACACGCCTTCCACTTGACAGGAGTACTGAAATACCTGTTCTGGAAACCTGGCTCTGAGCTTCTGTTTAAGGACCTGGTGTAATTGTATCAAAGTAAATGGCAATTTGAGTCTTAACAGATTTAACAAGACTAGCAATGAAGACACATAAAAAAACATGTAGTACTTTTACAGTAGTGTAACATGTTCAGCATTTAATCTAAAAAACAATTTTTTTAAAGGAAATTGTAACAAGGCTTCAATTTACTCCTCATATTAACAGGACGTGGCACACAAAGATTTCGGACAGATTAGAACAAAGAGTCAATTTACTCCTCATATTTACAGGTAGTGACACGAAGATTTCGGACAGATTGTAACAAAGCGTCAATTTACTCCTTATATTACAGGTAGCGACACACGAAAATAAAGATTACGGACAGATTGTAACAAAGCATCAATTTATTCCTCATATTTACAGGTAGTGACACACAAATTAAAGATTACGGACAGATTGTAACAAAGCGTCAATTTACTCCTCATATTTCATAGACTGGCACACAAAATAACAATCACCCCAGAAATACTGCCTTAGTTGTTGTTTGTAGAGACTTTCACTTACCCTCAGATGTTCCTTTTTGACCGGCTCCGGATCTACAAATCTTGGCTGGTATTCCTCTGGGAGATCTCTACAGAAGTCGCCATTCCGGAGGAAAAAGACCGCATTTGGGTTCTGTTTTCTTAAAATTGAAACATCGTAACAATAAACTTTAGCATGGCTGTATTAAAATATCAGAGTAGCACCATGTCACAATATTTCAATATAAAAGTGAACGTATTGACAAAAATGTATAACATAACAATATCACAGTAACTTACTATTTAACAATGAATATCGTGTCCTGATTCTTTCACCCTTGCCCTAGCTGCAGGAACCATATCCTCTAGGCCCGATCATTTTTTTTCAATTTTTATCGGACCATCTAGCTGTGGAAACCGTAGCTTCTAGGCCCGATTGTATTCTTCTTCTTTTTTCCGGACCATCTAGCTGCAGGAACCATATCTACTTTAGCTTCTAGGCCCGATCCTTTATTTATTTTTATTTTAATTTTTTATCAGACCATCTAGCTGCGGAAACCGTAGCTTCTAGGCCCAATCATTTTTAATCATTTTTATAATCGGATCATCTAGCTGCAGAAACCGTAGCTTCTAGGCCCAATGATTTAAAAAAAAAAAATATAATCGGATCATCTAGCTGCGGAAACCGTAGCTTCTAGGCCCAATCTTTTTTTTTTTTTTTTTTGATAATCGGATCATCTAGCTTCTAGGCCCAATTGTATTCTTTTTTCCCCGGACCATCTAGCTGCGGGAACCCTAGCTTCTAGGCCCGATTGTTTTATTTTATTTATTTTTCCCGCAGATACCCTTGCCCCAGAATATTGAGGGCTGTGCCCAAAACGACTTGCCATTGATGATTTTTTATTTTATTTCTTTGGTCCCTAGAATGCTTCAGACAAAATTTAGTAAAATGTTGAAGTTAACCCATACACTCATGTGTGATCTTACCAAATTATTTTTAGATTCCATGTATGACCTGTTCGTGTTAATTTTTACCTGTAGGCTCCATGCATTATTTCCATGAAGGTGATGGAGGTGTCGTTGATCCAGTCATACTGCTGACGGACATCTGACGGGACTTCATCTTCTGTGGGAATCCAGCCATATCTAAAATCACACAAACGTACCAGTGTATTTTCAGGGGAGTTCCTTCGCATATCAATTTTCATACTTTAGTATGTGTTTGATAAAATATGATCAAAAAATAATTTCATTACTTTGAATTTTCTTTCCAGCAGAACAAGCATTAAATATCCATATTTTTTTTCGTATAAATGCAGAATAACAAAAAGAACTTATTTTATTATTATAGATTTCTGTTTTGTGCTGGCTGGCTGAAGGTCAATGCAATCTAATAACAAATGTTCAACTGTAAATGGTAAAAAGCCAAGAAGCAAAATACCTGTTTGTTGTGTTTGAATTGTTACAAAAGAAATATTAAATGAAAATGATATAAATAAGTTCTGTTAGAATAGCATTAAGCTTGCACAGATATCTTTTATATTTTGTGGAGTATCTCAAGTCATTCAGTGAAAAATACTGCACGATTCCAACTGTTACCTTTCGCCAGTGAGGTTGACGAAGAAAGGTGTGCCCTCATTTTCTGAATGGCATCGATCAATCTCCTCCATGCAGGTGCAAATTGTGTCAGAGGTCGTCGAGTCCTTGGGCACACCCCAGCGAAGGTCACACTCCACAAAATAAAGAGAGCGTTCCGCACACCATTCTCGCAGCTCGGGAAACACCTTCGTAACAAAAAAGGGAAATGCAAATTATCTGCCGGAGGAATAAAGCACATTTTTTTGCTTTACAGAAATTTTAAATTTAACTTGTACACAAAATTTTATGTTTGCTGATTTTTACCTACTACACAACTAAAAGGGAATGGTTTATGTTACGTTTTGCCTCTCACTTACTGAAATGGACCACTTAAATAAAGTGGCAGGCGAAAGTCGTCATACTAACTTGTTAGCTTTATGAAGGGTTATTGCAGAAATGTTCATTCTGGCTCTTACCTTAGAAATTTTATTTTTCTGGTGGTATTTACAGAAAATTCAGAGCAGTATATATTCCGAGAGCTTCTTTGATGATAGAAAAACATCTAAATTCCTTGTATCTCTTTTATAAAGACTACTCAAAATCAATGTGGACCCTTTCTTAAGTTCAATGACTATACACATATATCACATACCTGTTGAATCTTGTTATAGTAATACAAGCAATTTTCAGACCATGAAATACAACGTTCTGTATTGCACATGTGCAATACGGAATGTTGTATTTACCTACTAGCCGGAACTACATTTTATGGGAATCCCCTTATCATGGCAAACTGAAAAGTTCCTGATATTTGCAAAAAATATCAAAGTTTATAAAATCTTTGTATCGATCTCTACCAAATACGGAAGGAATGTGATAAAAGCAAGACCACACACTTGTGTTTTTCTAACGAATCAGAAAGCACTCATTTATTGCGCGGACGTATGTATTCACTCGTTGCGCTCCGTGCACTCGTGAATATATTCGTCCGCGCAATAAATGAGTGCTTTCTGATTCGTTAGAAAAACACAAGTGTGTGGTCTTGCATATATATCCCATTTTTATTCTTAGTCTTAATTTGTAGTTATAGTGATGCACACTCATTATGTTTTTGTACCTTTTTGACGAGAATTTCTCGTTCGTTGAAGAAATCGGTAAACGTCGAAGAAACAAAGACCCGTATTGTTTTCCATGAAGACAGACCTGTTGTGTCATCAGAACTCGGAGTTGTCGACACCTTCAGTTCTTCTGCTCTGTCCCAGCATTTCGTAACGGTGCTTCTCACATTATCTTCCTCAGACTGAGTGACCTTCTTCTGCAGTGTCTCTTGCTTTTCATTTAAAAAAAATAAAAAAATAAAAATCTTATATCAAAGTTTTACTTTCTACACAAACAATGTACATAATTTATTAAATGTGTCAAAGCATTTCAAGACCGACTGGTCCATTTGTCAAGCTATTAATGATTGAGTGATTTGTATCTTTTACCTGTACAACGATGTGACAAAGTAGTTTACCTTTTTTTTATCACCCGACCCAGGAAGTTTAACCTATCGATATAGAGCGTATACACACTGCATCAGATAGGTTATATTACAGGCAGGGTGTAGATCTAGCCCCCTCCCTTTGTTGTTTTATAGGTTTGGTTATGGGATTTTGTTACAAACTAATCAAAATATAAGATGCTCAACAGGTGTAAAGTCAGAGCTGTATCCAGAAACAACCCCTGAAAACTCTGTTAAATGGTTTCTTACGACAGGTGGTCTCCTTTAATACAGGTTTAGTAATTATTGTAAATGATTACAATGAGGAAATTTAAAAGCAGTCTCTGGGGATAGTTGATCTTTTAATTTAGGTGGGCTCTCAATCAAGTTTGATGGACCGTACATTGTATATATATAGTGTGTAGCAGTTTTAGATTTTATGTATATATTTAAAGTCGGGAAAACCATTTCCGAGTAGGTTATTTTAAGATGTTAAACGTCATCTAGAGGGAATTACTTTCCCTTTAGCTCAGTGGTAGAGTGTCCGATTTAGGAACCTTAGGATTGTGGGTTCGATTCCGGATTGAAGCACACTATTATCCTTCCTGTTGTATACATACCAATTTGGATTCTCCAGGCTCTTTTCGAGGACTAGGCCCATCACCTGACAGATACCTCTTGTACATAACTGGCCCTCAGTCTATAATCATTACGGTCTGGATGTGATATTGATTGTCATTTGTTCACATGAATTGTACGTAGTCCATTAAACCTTAAAAAGATATATAATGACGATATTTATATAAATACTTAATTTGTAGCGATACTTCATATTCAAGATTTTTTCTACATGTTTTAAGAATTGACACCAATTTGTTTCAGGGGGTGGGGGGGGAATTGTAAGCATATTGATTTTATTGAAGCATCTAAACCCAATTATATTCCTTTTTCTCTCTATTTTCTAATCCTTAAGGTCAAAATGCATATATATTGGGTAAAAAATATTAAATTGTGATTCTCAGAATACTAAATATATAAGTAATCTACTTCTACTAAATTAACTGCCTTCAACTGGTTGAATATTATGTTATTGGAGACCATTGCATAATAAGAGGGTAGAAAGATATATAAATGAATAAAATAAAAGTAAATAAATAAAAAGGCTTATGGGTTATCTACAACCCATCTCCCCTTTTCCTTTTTGGTTTTCGAGTTTTCATTATCAAGCATGTTAAGGCTCACTGAAAATGGGTTTAATGCACAGAGTAACAAAAATAAAAGGAAAACTGCAAATAATTTAGAAAATTTATAGAGACAGGGGAAGGGGGTCGAGAATTTTTCAAATGAGGAAACTCGGACTGAAGTGCGACTTGTTAAATCTAGCCTAGATAGATAAACACATTTTCGTATGTGTGATTTCTGAAATATTGATAGTCTACGTAGTGATAATTTGAGAAATAGTATGTAGATCTACATGGTAGTACATGTACGAATTCGGATGCAGAAGAGTTCTTCAGCTTACACGTAAAGGTAAATGAATAATGCAGTCTTGTTCGTCACCGTCCATTCATAATAAGTATCAACTATTAATAAAAGACATAAGCTGCCATTAGTATAAAGTATATAAGCAGCAAACAGCTGGCAAAACAAGTGTGGGATAGGCCTAGATACAGCCGCCTGCTATGGGCAACTTTTGTTATTTACTATTGACAATAACTTCCGGTTATGTGTAAAAACTAAAAACGAACTCCGAGGCGTTAATATATCCGGATTATAAAAAAGATGACATGAATTCCTGTTTGAGAAATTGTAAAAGATATACATCATAATTTGATATTTAACTTTCCAAGATTTGTTTTTGCTGTTCAAGTGAGGCTTTACATCCAACTACACTGGATTAGCTCGTGTTTTAACTGTACAACTAAATAAATAAATAAAAAAACACACATTTCTTTTTTAAAACTCTCAACGCTTACCAATACCACGGAATTATCTAAGTCCGTGCCAATACAAAGATACATTTTTGTAACTGAACGTACAAGATACAAACAACATACAAGAAACTTTATGTAAAGTCGTTTACATGTTAACAAGGAACATCAGCTCTTAAGAGCTATTATTGCGACAAACATATGTAAAATAACAATAACACATTGCATTACAAGTAAAGGGAGATCATACATATTTTAATAAAAAGCAATTATAATTATCACAGAAAAAGAAAGTATCATATCCCAGGTTTCTAGATGATTTGGGCTCAATGCGGTTACACGTTTATACGTACATGTCATTGAAATCTTAGTAGACATCACCGGCTTAACTTTATATTTGTGTCGGTGTCTTGAAATAATGACGTAAGAGTTGATGAAAGTTTAACTTTGAAATTTAATAAGAGAACTTTTTTGACTTGACGGCTGGATATTCTGGAGGGTCCAACATAAACCCGATGTGTTCCGTAAAAATGGGTTTAAATTTATAGACTACACTTCACGGGCGAAGCCCGTGTTCGGTCGTCTTGAGGGGGTAAGACTGTTACCGGGCCCTCGGAGATTCAAAATGACCTTGCCCGTCCAGGTCACGCCCTAAGGTCGGTCAGCTCCTTAGATGCGGATAGGCTGTCGCAGCTACTATACAGCACACATGCGATGATTTACAAAACATCATATCACAGTTAAATACATGTACGTACAATAAAGGTACTGACCTTTGAGTGACAGGTGTCACTAATTGTTAGATCAATTACTTGTGGTCAGTGTCCACAAGGTAAAGGCTATTACGCTAATCCTGTTGCGTAATGTGATGGACAGTAGTAATGAGTTGTGAAAGTAAGTTTACAAAGTGTACGAGCTTAGGGATATAAAATCTTCACAATTGATTAGGATCTTAAATGTCACAAAGGATATAGATAGAGATGTCATCATCATCATCATCATCATCATATGTTTATTTCCTCAAAACTGAGATACATTTACATCGAAATCAAATAATATGGAAGGGTAATATAAAGTACATGTAACATGTATATATCCAAATTCCGTCTAAATGTCATATAAACGTGTTTTGTACTAAGTCACACTTGAATTGCTAGATATGAACAATTCGAAATATAAATATAATAAAAGATGGCAAGATTAAAGTTTTTCATGAATAAGCAATTATTTACAACAGAGACGTATATATATATACGTCTCTGTTTACACAATTAGTTTCAGCACTAATTTATCACAAAATTTCTGTGTGATAATACAAACCATTGGAACCTAGATTGTGACAGATGAAAATATGGCGATATGACGTTGTTTATAAAACTGATAATTGAAGAATCATTGGAGTTCGTTAAATGTATTTAAATTTTTAGCATTCCGAATGTTTTTTTATAAACATTTTAGACTAGAAAAGAAATAAACAAATGAAAACGAACTGTTTAAAATATGGTTTGAGTTTTAAGTTAAGTTTAAAGAAAATGAAAATTTTATCAAAAATACAATTTTGAAGCAAAAGAGGGATGATAAAACAAGCTTGGAGCTTTCATATATATATATATTATTTATTTTTACGCTTAGTGACCCACTAGTAGAATAATATAACGATCCGAGTCCGTTTGAGATGGAATACGACCTTTTGAACAAATGACAACATGCAGTAGGCATACAATGCATAGTTTATATATACTTCGCAGGCCGTTTGACAACGATTGTCAATTTTAATTTCCATGTGTAATATATATGTAATGATATTCGCCTTGGGCATACTTTCATTGACAAAGAAAATATTTGCCATCTACGATAGTGCACTTCCAATAACTTACATTAGTCAGATAGGTATACACAGATCGTATGTGCAGATAGACGTATACGTAACGATATCCACGTCATACTGAACGGGACATCACTGACTACGCTCTTAAAGTTGTTTATACAAAATTTCATCTATAACTTACATTAAATACATTCAATATTCATTGATTTGGAAACATCAGCTTTACTTCAAAATCAATAGCAGTATTTGTTAGAGATTGTGACACAAACTCGGAGACACAAGAAGTGTGTACCAGCTGTTGCACCGTCGAAACCTGAGGAAGAGCTGATTTATTGGCAGACGACTGGAGACGGATGGCGCGAGAGCGGCGCGCGACTTCTGTGCATTCTTTTAGATGTACACGACTGAGGAACTAAACCATGATTGAAGATGTTTTAACAGACATTTTAACATACAGTGCCGAAACAATACAGCAAACTTAAAGGTACGTAAGCAACAAAGATTTATAAGAGTTAGATATACTTAAAACGAGGCTGGTTATGTTTTAAATCTACCACACGCTAACTTATATATATAATGTACTGTATATCTATCAGGTCAAATTACTGAAGTGTATTTATAAGGGTCTACAACACCTTCATGATTTTATACAAGTTTTTTATAACGTGTTTCAGAGGTGTAGCATATGGAAAGTCATCTCAACATTTATTTAAGGAGCAATGTCGATCCTGACTTTCATAAAACTATATAGATCTTATATAATATATATGAGATATAACTATAGTATATGCATACAACGTATCGAACTCGGGACCTATCAAACTTACTGTAGTGTGTAAGAAAACTTACAAGCATGGCCTGATGTATGTGACGTTGGCTGAAACTTTTACTTACCGGTAAGGAATTCATATACCGGTTTCATTTTTACCGTACAATAAATAAATTAATAAATAAATAAAGGCCGATCAATACCCCAATCAATCAATCAATCAATCA